GTCCAACATGACAGTCTGAACAAGTTCCAAAATCAGTTACTATGTGATACACAAGCCTGATAAAATGAAAAAAATTCTCTTCCTTCGACCGATTGAGACAACTCCTCATTTGTGCTTCACATGCTCCCCCCTCCCAGACACTGCAGCTCCCAATGGGGGGGGTTCTCAGTAGCAGAGGTAGTGCTGCCAATCCAAAATCAGTGGGCAGGACTAGGTCCTGAAGAGTTTCAACTCTGCTCTAAATTCATGAGCATTGCAACATCGTTGCCACCCCATCACAGGAAGAATCAATATGTAGAGTCCAATGAGAAGCTAAACAGGTGTATTGTGGCACTTTGATGTATGCCCAAAGGGAATCGAGGGGACCGGACAGCAAGGGTTAAACTGCAGCACTGGATTAATGGTCTCTGTAGGCTTTACCAGGTAAGAAAATTCAAACACCTGACAGGCTGGGTTAAATGAGGGTGGGAGGTAGTTTTTGCCCAGAGTTGACCTTTAAGGAATTCTTCTTACTTCTAGCAGTTGATATAACGCCATACATTTGCATTCCAGCCACTGCTAAGGAAGAACAAACAGGCCTAGGGCAGAATAAAGTTTATATTCAGGTCTCAACTGTTAATTATAATTATTATTATTAGGAAAAGAGGGAGGCAAGGCGTACTGTGCTTTCTCAGTTCAAAATGTGCATCAGGTGACTGTGTACCGCCATTGCAATGATCAATGATCTTTTTTTTTTATAACTTTGAATATACTGGTACTACTAATTCAATAGAAGATGCATGGAAAACAGCTACATCACATGGCAAGATACAGCTGATCACCTTGGTCAACGCTGCCAGCTACTGTCTGACAGTGAATCTGAAAAAAACGGATTGCCTTCAGTGCAGTGCATTGTCCATAGAAATAATAATAGGATGTGAAAATACGGTTCTATGATTTCACCACACCGTTTTGGTGGTTGATAACACTGTGCCTCATTTGTCAATTTGTCTGAAAAGAGAACTGTTTGTGCTAATGCACTTTAACCAAATGACAACTAACTGGGCAAAAAAATTACATATATGATGTAGTGCTACAAAAGTTTTTGTTTTTCTGAATCCACCCTGTAAAATAGCTTTATTGAAATTGTCCTGTATCATTGTCACCATGTACACAGCATAGTTTTAGATTGATATTATGAGAAATAGAGAAAAAAAAAAATAGAAAAAAAAGCGCCACAAACTAAATAGAACAAAAGCTGCACTCCTAACCAAAAAAAAGGTAAAAATGTGAATAAATCAAAGTGCGCTAAATATAAGTAAATACAAAAATTATTAGTTTAAAATAATGATGTCCGTGATAGAAAAAAATTTATATAAAAGTCTATCCACCATAACAAAGTAATTAAACAGTTCTGAAATCTTGTGTAAATCAAACACCGTGCAAAAAAAGTCAGCAAAGATGGCGTTTGCTCTGGGAGCGATGATCAGCAGCAGTAATCCAAACTGGGAGCAATATACTGCAAGCAGCCAGTCAGCACAATATGGAATAGCCTTAACAGCAGGTAGCCATCACGTCTCCATACCATAGATCATGTTCGGGGAATCAAAAAAGGAAATCATGGTGCAGTACGTTTAAAACCAAAATGTTTTACTAAAACGTCAGAAATGCACTCACAAACAGGGTGTCTAGCTGACACCAGCAATGACAGCCTCAAGAAAACAGGGACGAGCCTTGCTCACCGCGATATCACAGCCGACAGTATACGAGGAGCATCCAGATGTCACATCTAAAAGAAGCCCCGCCCTACTAGTTTCGTCATCCGACGTCCTCATTTCATTCGGTGGTGGATTTTTTGTGCACGGTGTTTGATTTACACAAGATTTCAGAACTGTTTAATTACTTTGTTATGGTGGATGGACTTTTATATAAAATTTTTTCTAATCACGGACATCATTATAACTAATAATCTTTGTATTTACTTATATTTAGCGCACTCTTTGATTTATTCACATAGTTTTAGATTGACCTTTAGTTTTAGAGCTGAAGTTTAATCTGCTTATATTTTGCCTTGCCTTCTTTATCCCACTGTCAACAGGTAATTTTTTTTTTTTTATTTTGACCTTTCCATTTTCATTACATACTTAAAGCTGAGCTCCACCCAAAAGGGGAAGTTCCGCTTTAAGGACTGCTCCCTCACTCCCCATTAAGAATTGGCACCTTTGAGGGGCGGGAGGAGCAGGTACCTGAATTTAACAGGTACCTGCTTCCACTTCCGGTCTGATCGCCTAGGCAATCGGAAGCAAAAGGTGCCCTCCCTCCTTCCCTCCCTGTAGTCTTTTGGGACACGTGACCGGTCCCAGAAGACTACAGAACGATTCACAAAGTGCATGCTCAGTGGGTACACGGCTGTGAAGCCGCAAGCTATCACAGCCGGGTGCCCACACTGAAGATGCCGGACTCCTGAAATACAGGACAGCCGGTGAAATAAGCTGCGGGGGACACACCACGGGACTGAGGGACAGGTAAGTGGCTGTTTTTTAAAAGTCAGCAGCTACAGGTTTTGTTTTTTGATAGGTTGAGTGGAACTCCGCTTTAGTATTAGACTCGGTAACATCATCACTAGGTCTCTGTGCTTCTTTATGTAATGCAAGCAGATTAAGGCTGGTGGGTGAGCCAGCAGAGTGCTGTACATATCTTCCTGAAAAAATCACAGCACTCTACCTCAGTACTCCTCTCAAGAGCCTTCAGCCCAGATGCAAGTAGTGGGATGGATATTGGGTTTGATGAGTGAATATCAGAGGAGTGGTCATTCCTAGTCAGGCATCATTTGTATGCAGATCACCCTAGGCAACGCCCGCATGTGATGCTTAATTCAAAGAACTATAATCTAATTGTTTTCCTCACTCTATTCAAAACTAAAAAAGGTTTTGCCTAGAGATACACTATGATGCTATTCACAAACTTTTTTGATTTTGCCCATAGTTACTCTTTAGGTCTGACCTAGAACTTGACAGTCAAAGAATGAAATCATCTGATTTCTGTTACCAATCCACTGTTCTTATTTTAGTAGTTTTTATAAATAAAGGCCACAACCATCAGATTGCTGTTAGAAGTACAACACAGAATGATCAAAATGGTTCCGTAAATATTTATGTTATATAAGCCTACTTTCTTCCTCATTGTATATTTTTCTACACACGGTCTTTGTCGGTAATTATTCTTACATTAACTCTGTTATTGGAAGTTCAAGTATTTGTTTCTGTCCATCATGCGGCAAATTATAGACAAAAACATACTGACTCTCATGTTTGAAGGCTTCCTTCCTTCCTGTTGCTTCCATGTTTTGTTTTTTTTTAAACCTCCTCATATAGATAATGTAGCTAAACCAATTTGACCTAAATAAGAATGAAATCCAGATTCCAAATATTTACCAGACATGGATAGAAATTTGGCTGGTTCAGCAGGGACCGATCTACCAACTGACTTTTGTACAGCTGCCCTGTCAGGTTTTCCACACTCAATCAGCTCTGCTGGCTATAGTCTGCAACACTGATCAGTGTATTCTGATGGTGGGGAAGTCTACCTACTGTCAGAATACAATGTTGTAGCAGAGAGGATTCCTCCATCCACCTCAAATACGTGGATTGGGGAATAAGGTCAGTTTTTTTTTTAAATTGACTCATCTATGGGCAGCCTCACACACTGTGTATTCTAGGTTTCTATTCTCTGTTCCCTATTCTATTCTTCCAGGAGGGTTGGCTGCCTCCATACAGCTAAGTTCAATGATAGAGTTAAAGTGTCACTACACCCACATCAGAAAAATCTATCAATAAATGCTGTACTACATGCTGTTCATACTCACTCAGTCACTATGGGAATCATTTTCTGTATTCTGCAAAAAACCTGGTTGATCCTGCTGCTCTCTTCTGTCCATGTCCCCAATGCAGTTGGGCATTTTGCAGATCATTATTGGCAGCTAGTGCACATGCTCAGTTTTCAGTGAGTTTCTAGGCTGAGCATTCACATCTGAGCAGCATATATGACTATAGAGCCACACATGTGGGTGTATACACTGTGGTAAATGACATCCCACTCCCTCCCTCCTCCTCCATGCCCACTAACCAGCTAAACACAATAGGGATAGGAAATTACATATTGAGTTATGGAGGCTTCACCTTGCTGTTATTCTAAGATACAGGCTGGAGGGGGCGTGACACCGGCATAAATCCGCCCCAACCATGTATTGCCAAACAATAATAAAGATCTGATATCAAATATATATTTGAATGATAATTTAAAACAATTTATGGATATTATTTATTTGTATGCTGTGTCTCAAAGGCTGTTTTTTTTTTTGTCGTGACCGGTAGCAGAGGACTAGAAGCTCCTCCTGCTACTGTTTCCCTGCAGACAGGCTCGTAAAGAGCTGAGTCATATGACAGCTGTATATCAATTAGAAAAAAAAGGTACTTTAAATTTTTTTTTTAAATAAAATAATTACAGTGCCATCATCCACATACAGAAAGAGAAGGGATAATGTAAATGAAACAGTGTGTATTTAGTATCACTTTAAGAGCAATTCTAGGGGAAAAAACAGTCAAGAAGCTATTAATGTTATGCAGAAAGCATTGCAACTGTGCAATCTTTTGCATTCTGCTATGGCTAGCCTTTACACAGCTCCATAGGCATGTAGAACTTAGATCGTGCATTGTGTTACCCCCTCTCTCTCTTTTCTTGTATTGTCAACCATATTTGAACTTTATCTTCCATCTGATTGTTGATTATAGAAACTTGTTACTACTGAAATATTTTACATCTGGTTTTCTGTATGTGAGAGACAGCAAGGAACGTGCAGTGGGCATGTTTGCAAATATCCTATGGCATCACACACATGGGCTATTAGATCATCAGATTATTGGCATGTACATTACTGCAGAGACTGAATGAAGCACAAATGTACTAAGGTAGGCTGCACTCCTTGTGTGCCTCTCAAGGCTTTTGCTGTAGTGCACCATTAGGGGCGGACTGGCAACTCATGGGGCCTCAGGGCAATAGGGGATCATGGGGCCCCCGTGTCCTTGCCCAAACTCAAAAAAGCCTATGAAAAAGGTACCAGGGGCATCTCATGGGGCCCCTTACTGACCCCGTGCCCTCGGGCAGTGCCCGAGTTTCCAAATGGTCAGTCCGCCCCTGTGCACCATTTATTCTGATTGTTTGCTATGGGCCATGGCATGCTATACAAAGAGAAAGTACTTATGATATCTATAAAATTAAATCACAGACATAGATGAACAAATGATCATTCAAGATTAGCAACATGCTGCACTGCTGCCATTAGAGCTTAGAAACCCACTCAGAAGCAATAATTTTCTGAGGGCATCTAAGGATCAAGAAGCTTCAAAAATTGCTATAAATGTACAACATGTGGTATAAAACACCAACTAAGTTGGCAGTCATTTATCCAGGGTCTTCACCTGCTTGTTGGAGAGGTTGTGATGAAGTAGGCTCCTTTGCCCACCTCTGGTGGGACTGCCTGATGATCTGATTTTTTTGGCATGTGAAATTCGTTTGGTAAGGAAAGGTAGAACCATGGGTTCTCCTGGGACAGGATAAATATGATAAGTTTTATATGATCTTGGCTTGCTGGATATATTATTGTACCTCAGTTGATGATGCTGTTTAAAGTCTTTCTGGCTCACACAGCATGTTTACCATAGTTTGTGACTTCTGGGATCTTATGACCATTATTTCTGAAACACCAAGTGATCTATTGCCTAGGAATAATGGAGACGTATCAAAAGCAATAAGTGTACCCTCCAATGTTTCACCCAAAATGATGCCAAAGAGATTGTTATATGTTGCTATAATTTCCTAGTTATTGTGAATTCTCTCTCTTTCTCTTATCTTTCTTTCCTCATATACCATTTGGATACAGGCGTTGTCTCCTTTCACACTTATTCCTCTTCCACACATCAGTCTGATCTCCTGCTTCGTTTAAAGTAGAACTACTCTGTATCTGAGCACCGCAAACTAAAAGCACTATTAAAATTCATTTTTAATATTCAAAGTAAACTCCTCCATCCATCCATGTCTCCATGCTTGTTTTTGCTGAGAAATTACTCAGAAAACCACCTTCCTAGCATTTGTGACCTTGGCCATCTTGAGTAAGGGCAGAAGAAATACGTAGAATTTAATTCCTGGAATCCATCTGACATTAGTTCAGGCATGCATGCAGGGTGTGCTTAGCTGAGAAAACCCCTCCTCCCCTCTTGAAGACTCCTGGAATGTATGACATAATATACCTAGGCTGAAAACCAAGAAGCGACTAAGGAAATGTAAAAAAAAATACCAGTTTAAAACAAGTAAATGTGATATAATTTCCTATCTATTTACTATTTCTAGCAGAATATTGATTCAAAATAGTCAATGTTGATTGAGAGGGTAAAGTTCCACTTTAATTTCCTTTCACTCTTCTACCTATGGAGATGTGGGTTCTATGGAACTAATGAATAGACCATGGGCCCTTCTGCAAACTACTTGAAGCCATTTGGGTGTTAAACAAGGAGGCCCTGACTTTGCAATTTCCAGACTTTACGCATTGGGGGGATTTACTAAAACTGGAGCACTCAGAATCTTTTGCAGCTGTGTATGGTAGCCATGTGTATGATAGCCAATCAGCTTTTAACTTCAGCTTGTTCAATTAAGCTTTGGAAATAAAATTTGGAAGCTGATTGGTTTCTATGCACAGTTGCACCAGGTTTTGCACTCTCCAGTTTTAGTAAATCAACCCCATTGTGTCCTGTTTCTTCTGTGAGGGAATAATATACAACTGCACTCTACACTTTCTTTCATACAGCTATACTTTGTAGAAGGAAGTAGAGGGAAATCTTCCCACTGGGACAACAGGCAGCAGGCAGGCAGCAATAAAAAACAGTCAGGCATTCAAATCCTTCCTTGTTTTAGCAAAGCCAAAGTCAAAATTTTTGTCTGGAGTTGACCTTCAGGTACTGACCTGTATATAGCTAGTTATAATATGATGTATAAAATAGACCTTCAGTTAAATATTTTATCTTTGTTTTGAACAGGGTGGGGAAGTGTTAGAATCATTCTCAGAAAACTTTACCCCTCCTTCCTGTGCCAGCGACTACCTGTCACTAGGACAGAAGGAATAAATAGTCTTTACATCTGTCCTGTGATTCTCTGTACTTGGAAGTTCATATGGCGTTAATTTATTGTGTATGACTTTAACTTCAATAAGGCACATTAAGAACAAGCACCAGCTTCATGGCACATGAGCAGCAATCTCTTCTGTGTATGTCTGTTTTTGGAAATTTGCTCTCAGTTCCCATACTGGTAACTATGGGGTTAGACAAAAAAATGGAAACATTTCATAATTTGGAAGTGTGAAAGTGATGACATGTTTGCATTGAAAGTAGAAGTGATGTAACATTCTTTTGCTTCTGTGATGAGACACCGAGCTAACAGGCGGGAAACCTCACTTTTATCATTCACTGCATGCACTGATCGTAATATGGCGTCATGTCAGAACTTACTGAGCTTCAAAGAGGGCAAATTGTTGGTGTCCGCTTAGCTGGAGCCTCTGTGACTGAAGTTACCAATTTATCTGCTGTGTCATAAGGTACAATGTCAAAGGTTATGACGGTATATACAGGTCATGATAACATCATCTGATGAGCATAAGCGCGGTCGACACAGGACTGAGATTAAGCTCTGCAGTCACTTTTGCAGCAGTTGTTTTCTTATTCCGGGTCACAATCCTGTGCAATGTGCTTCTGTCTCTTCTGGTCAGTGTCCCATGTTGACTGCACTTATGCTCATCAGATGACATTTTACCGGAAACTGTATATGCTGTATAACTGTTAATACTGTTGCCTTGCCACTCATCATCTACAGGCGACCTTGAATTTGTCCATGCTGGGATTGTACAGAGTTTGTGCTGGCTTGGCTGAAGTCGTTATTTACTGGTGACCTCAGTATGGCGCTGTCTTGGCTGGCTGAGGGTCCCAATACCATCGTACCTGGGGTGTTAGCGTGACAACTACAGGCTGCTTTTACTCTGTATCATGGCTGTTATTATTGTTATTATTATTATACAGGATTTATATAGCGCCAACAGTTTGCTCAGCACTTTACAATATAACGGGAGACAATACAGCAACAATACAGTTCAATACAAGAGGGAAGTGAGGGCCCTGCTCCTTGGAGCTTACATTTGTTATGCTTCTATATAATTAAGATGAACTCCTTTTTTGTTGTCCTCCTTTACTATATATACCCCTGAGGAAAGAATATTATCTGGAATACGTTGGGTTTCCGATGGATGAATGTCCAGCGGAACAACAAGAGGAGGTTCTTTTTACATCAGTCAAACTTCCTTAATTCACATGTAAGTAGCCACTATGTTGTGGTTTTTATGGAATTGATATACAGTATTTGTTGTATTTTATTGTACTAGAATAAAGCTTTGTTATATTTTACCTCAGTACTCTTTCTGCTGCTCCTAAAGTTCCTTTTTCATCAAACACTGTTTGATCATTCTGTATAATCATGGGATGTTGGAAACTATCCAAGGACATCAGTAAGCTCTGACACAACTCTGTATTACTAGCAGTGTACGCAGTGAATGACGAAAGTGAGGCTTCCTACCTTTTAGCTAGGTGTCTCATCATACAGCAGAAACAAAAGATTATTATTTCACTTCCACTTTCAATGCGAACCCCTGTATGTATCACTGAGAGAGGAAATGAAAGAAAATCTGCCCAACGTGGGCACAGGAAAAACTAGAATAATTCTCTTTCAAAGAAAAAAAAAAAGTTGGCATTAAACTTCAGTTAGACCTAGAATTATAAACTGCAATATACAGATAAATTCTTGATGCAGCCAAAATAGTGTTCATAGGCGGACAATGACTTGCAGGTGTCCTGATCACTATGTTTTGCTGCACTGGGGGGTCTCAAATAGGAGCCCGCTTTTGGCTTACATTTTAATTCAGAAAAACCGTTTTTTTTAAATTTCTCCATCTAAATATGCAAATTGTCTGGCTGTCTATGGCTTCACTATTTAAAGGCCATAGACCAATTAGCACAAATAGGCAAGATTAGTGATGACAATCAAACATTTTATGCCCAGACCATTATATGGCATTTCCTTTTTAGAACAATTCCATAAGCAAAACATAAGTCTTATTCTTGATACAAAAACACACCTAATTATATTATACAGCTATGGCCCTGGATAGACCCAATAAAATATGGAGCAGCTGTACAGAGTAATCAATCAACCCATTAGGTTCCAGCTTCAGTTTAATTAGTTAAGCTTTGAAAATGAATGTTAGAAGCTGATCGGATGCCATGCACAGCTGCTCCAGTCTTAGTAAATTCCCCTCTATAGCCACAAAAATTGTGAGCAACCATGATGAATGAGCCAACACAGCCAACAGGATTTTAACCTATTGGTGCCTGTATGTTAACTGCTGGGAATATCTGTACCCCCAAATGATTACTGTTCAGATACCAAAATCACTTGGGTATTGGGCAAAGGACATCTAGCATCTATAGGTTTCTTTACTTTGCTGTTGCAGAAAAAGAACATAATAGCACATCTCTGCAAAAGCCATCACATTAGTGAAAATTAACAACACAGTGGGTATTAACCTGAAAACCAATATAGATAAATAGTGCAGATGATGAACTAGTTAGCGGGGGATTCTTATATATTTATACAAGATAATTAAATCACCCAGTAGGCGCCACTTCTAAAGTAAACAAACCCATATTTAGTTGATTGTTTGGATTCTTTCCTAACATCCTAATGATCAAAATGCTGCTGTAATATTTCAGATGCTGTGTGCTTATAATATAGCACATTAAAATACTAAAGAAATGACTATTGATAGAAATTTCAGAGAAGGTAATCAGGTTTATAAAGGTTTTCAGTATTGCACGTCTGTCAGTAGTTGAATGTCTGGACGTCAGGAACAGACTAATAGATACACTAGATACAGATTGATAGATGCATATGTCATGGAAGTATGATCAATAAATGGTCAATGTGCAATCAATTGGTTTTAAAAAAGTAGACGAGAAGGAAGATAAGATAGATTCTATACATTGGGCAATCTTAAGCAGCACGCCAAACCATCTGAGTTTCATCCTATTAGAAACAAACATAATGGGCAGACAGAATTCCCAACCATGACTAAATTGATTAGCTAAGGTAATTTAGCATTTCTATTTAAAAATGATTAAATTCAGGCAAAGAAAATGTGGCAAAAATCATAATAGGAGACAAAAAATAGTATAATTCATCAAAAATTACTTAAAAATTATAACAAATTAACTGAATCACAAGTAGGCTACATTTAATTCTTCCAGCCTATAATTAAAAGAATATGCAGACCCAATTTCTAAAATCTCATATATAAACATGTTAAAGCATAAAAAACACATAATCAAAGAAAAAAATGTAACAAAAATCTCAAACTTTGCTTCTGTTCACTTCTTGGAGGTGCTCAAAATCTTGGAAGAATGCACTTTAATGGTATTGATACCTCTGGAGGTGTTTATAAACATAGTACATGATTTAGCATTCATGGGAATGGTTCAAAGCAGGGGCAACTGTAGCTCAAAGCTTTCAAATGCAAAACAATACATATGATACTGGGGGTACAGTGTGGCTCAGAACAACAGAAGAAACAGATCTAGGGGCAGAATGAGCAGACAGTGTGTCCAGGCAGCAGGCAAACAAAATTCTGGGGTGCATCACTGAAGGATGACCAGTGGGATGAATGAGGTTCAGGTTCCACTATAACGGGCTTTAGTTTGACCTCCATTTAAAGACTGTGTATTTTTTTTTCTGAATTGATATGTACCTTGGGAATTGAATGTTTGTATATTTGATAAAACTTGGTTTGTACCTTATTTCTATTTAAAAAAAACAATAAAATAGGAAAAATAAAATAGAATGAAACATAATATTGATGATGTTGGATTTGAGAAATAAAACATATCAGGGGACACAGGAGGAACATATGTCCAAACTTGAGGAAAGAAGGGAAAATGGGGGACATGACTAAACACTTTATGTGCATTAGAGCAGGGGTCTCCAAATTGTATAACAAATGGCCAGTTTATCCTCCCTTAGACTTTAGGGGGGCCGGACTTTGGTCAGCGTAAGTGTAAATTTTGCTGGCATCAGTAAGAGTAAACATTGCCTCATTTGGTATTGGGGGATGAATAGTGTCCCATTGTGGGTATCATTGGGATAACAACAACGGTGTCCCACTGTTGATGTCAGTGGGAGAAATTGTGCTCCATTGTTGGTGACAGTTGGCAGAAAACTGTCTTGTATCTGGGAGGAATAGTGAACTAAGGGCCACATAAAGGCAAGCAAAGAGTTTGGAGACCACTGCATTAGAGTTTGAATAAGGTTTGAATTAATTTTCAATGTAAAGTGAAGCTCACGAACATGGGAGTATGACCTTAAAGCAGCAGAAAGGTAGTCCAAAGGTAAGGGGGAGCTAGACTCCAGTGGTTAAATAGGGGCTGAGCAGCAGCCCAATTGTAGCCAGAGTGGGGTCAAATTGTGATCAGGGCTGAGAGGAGCTGCAGGCCAGTCCCTCTGGAAATGTCCCCTGCTCTAGAGCTTTAGAAGAAGGCTTAGAGGCAGTTGATGGATCTGAGGAGTGGTTGGCCTGTACTCTTGAAGGAACCTGACCAATCCCCAACAGGAGACTGGAAAGGGGCCAGGACAACCCTTAAAAGTAAGAGAGCCTGCTCAGTAGGAGGAGAGTGTGGATGGAAGATGGAAAAGTGAGGATGAGATGCAGGAGCCTGGGAGGGAGCCCAGGCTGGAAGGGGCTTGCCTCCAGGCAGAGGGACCTTGAAAGGAATAAATTTGTGGACTTCACCGGCCCCCTGAGAGAGGACCACTTGGCGGCAGGGAAGAAGTGGCCAAGCTGATATGCCTGGTAGCAGCCACCTACCCAACAGCAGCACAGGAGAAGGACTCGGTGAGTACTCCTACACCCCCTGGGCTGGAGAGGGGAGAGAATGT